CGGGTGCTTCAGTTAGACTGTCGTCCCCATTAGCCAAAGTTGCGGGTTCGATCCTCAGTCAGGGCACATACACAAATCAACCAACAATTGCATAAATAAGTGGAACGACAAATCAATGTTTCTCTCAAATCAATAAATTACATACACATACACACACACGGAATTGCTATGGGATACAAAAATACTAAGTACCAAAAAAAAGATAAACTTCACAAGTTGTATTTTATAAGCTGACCACCACCATCAATCAACATGACCTAAGTGTCATTGTAAATTACTTCATCCAATGACAGAAGTTACATTCTTTTCAAGTGCACACTAAACACTTTATTATTTGTGGGCCATAAAGTAAGTCTTAGAAAACTTAAAAGGAACCAAATCATGCAAACCAGTTCCTAACTGCAATGGAATGAAGTAAGAAATCAGTAACAAAGATCTTTGGAAATTCCTAAATATTTGGACAATAAATACACACATTTAAAATAACCTATGAATCTCACATCATAGGGTATATATTGATTCACTATGTTGTACACCTGGAACTAATACGTAATTGTAAGTCAACTATTCTTTAATAAAAATAACCAGTGGACAATGCCAAATGGAAAATTATGAAGTGTTTTGAACTGAATGAAGACACAACATATTAAAATTTGCTAGAATGTGGCTAAAGCAGTGCTTAGAGAAAAACTTATAGCACTAAAATGCCTATTTCAGAAAAAGTGGTCTCAAGTCAATGACTCCAGCTCAATTTTAAGCTAGAAAAATAAAAAATGAGCAAACTATACCCAAACCAAGCAAAAGAAATAATAAAGAGCAGAAGTCAGTGAAAGCAAAAGCAGAAAACAGAAAAAAATCTGATGAAAGCAAAATCTGATTGAGAAAATCAGTAAAATTGATAAATATCCAACTAGACTGATCAGGATAAAAGATATAAGTTAACAATATTAGGAGAGAAAATATCACTGTAGGTCTTTATATTAAAAGGAAGTATCATGAGCTTTATGCAAATAAATTGGAGAACTAAGATAAAATGGGCAAATTCCTCTGAAGACACACACCACCAAAGCTCACTGGAGAATAAATAACCCTAAATCCACTTTCAGTACAGAATTTGTAGTGTAAAAAGAAAATTCCAGGCTCAGCTTGGCTTTATTGGGGAATTCTGCCTAGCATTTATGGACCCGTATACCAAAACTAAAAAGACACTACAAAGCTACAGGCCATGACCCGTATACCAAAACCAGAAAGACATTACAAAGCTACAGGCCAATTTCAAGGAATGTAAGTATCTAGTAACGTACGTTGAAATGAATCCAGAAAAAGGCCTGGGATTGGAAGACAAATTACTGGGCTTCAAAGATAAACTAAAAGGAAATGGGACTTAATTCCAATGCTGTAATTTCTGCAGGTCCAGTTTCATGTAATAGAATCATGATACAAGGATGCATCTAAAATATGGCAGAGGAAAGGCAGAAGAAGGAGGGCCTAGCAAATGGGGCTGAGGGTAGGCACAAAGACAAATTAGCGGCAACAAAGAAACAGAGAGGTGGCAATTCCGGTGAAACTAGTAAATAGCAGAGCACAGACTTGAAATTGGAAATGAATAAACGCATAGTGCTAGTAAGATATCCAGTATCATAATATTCAGTGAGAGCTTTGTGTCAGGGCCACTCTAGTGAGAAGGAAGTTGGAAATTTATGACTGCAGCTCAGGAGAGAGGGAAATACAGTACTAGAGGCCACGTCTATGTAACTGATCCCATTTACCACCTCTGATGATCACTGTGACTATTACATTAAACATAGTAGCATACTTTAAAAAAACACCCACAACAAACTACTCTTTTCAGGGAATCTTAGGATGCTTTTCCTAAGAATTATAAAAAACTAAATGTACTATATACCTCAACTAATTACTATTTAGTGATCATAACGAAAATAACACAACATAGCCATTTTGTTTGAAAGTCTGCTGATAGCTACTATTCCAACCTGACTTTCCTCTACTGTCCTGTGGCAGCAATCACACAGACTCAGTACTGGCAAGGGGTACACTTTAAAGGTCTCTCCTCTCTCACCCCCACCCCAGCTCCATGCATGTAAACACATTTGAAACCAAAATGGCTCATGGCCTTGAACCATAGCTGGCCTACCTACAGAAGTCAGCCGTACAGCCTCATCTCTGGACCAACTAAGCCATCAAGTCATACAGAATCCTAATTTACATGTCTGAAAGCCCATTTATTTCCTAAAGAGAGGCATTTTTGGCTAACATGCAGTCTCACTTAAATGACCACCTGGACACACCACTCATTCACCAAATGGGGAGCTTAGACTTCTGATAAACGGAAAAAGGCATTCTGCCTGCTATTAAGCAGTGACCATTTTCATTGTAGAAATAACATAGTAAGAAGCCGATTCTGAAAACAAAAGGAAGATTCCAAGTCAGCTATCACTATATTACTACAAAATGTTTAAGATGCAAAGCCTTTGACTAAAGCCATGGCCACAGAACATGAAGACTGGGCAATGTTCAAACACTTCTATTTTGGTACTAATTTTGAAACCCTGGGGCAGCCTATTACTACCTCTGTTATAAAAACAAGGTGTAAATATACAAATAAATGTCTCAGAAATAAGTGAAATTACCACTCAAGACTGGCAAGGTTTTAAGATTTCCATTTTATTAAAAATATAGCAACACAATAGCAGCAGCATTTGATAAATCTTTACTAGTACCATTTAGTAGTCCTACTCACATAAACACACACCACCTATGCAGCATCTTCATGTTTACGCTTGGAACTCTTCCCTTGATAACCATAGCATTATATAAAGAACACTATTGTATTAACCTAATTAAGGAGAGTGATACTCAATCATTAAACTGAACTACCTATACAATTACACAGTACACCGAAAAGTAATCTCCTGTGGAAGTCAGGGAATTCTGTAGGTTATTCCCCAATAGTTTTTTGCCTACCCGTAAGCTTAAATTGGTAGAACCAAATCTCAACTCTAATTCTTTCAGTATGATTTTCATGAATTTGAACGTAAGTTTAAAAATTACCTATCTAAGCAAATAAATGATAATCAAGAATGGAGGGAACTATTCATTCCAATCCTGGGAAAATAAATATTCACTGTAAAATATGTGAAGTTTCCTCAAAATTGGTAATTTTCAAAATTAAAATTTTAGCTAGATACAAGTTAATTTAAAAATCAGGCAACAGACTAGAAACCTGCCTTTTAAAATAATATATTAAGGAATGTTCTATTAGATATAAACTAATAATTATAAGTTAACTGCTAGAAACTATAAAAGTAACTAAAAATGAAACGAAAAAAAAAATCGAATTACTGGTTACTAAATCCAACCAAATAGAATATGGAACAAAAGTCATTAATAGCTGTAGATTTTATTTTTTAAATAATGTATCAGTCTTTAGGTGGAATCATTAATAAAAATGTACTAAGAAAAACAAATTCACCCACAAACCCAAGATTTAGTAGGGAAGTCAATTTTATTTTAAAAGATGATTTTATTACATTTATACTGGACTCTTGCTTCCAGAAATGTAATTTAGTCCTTTTAAGGGCACTAACTTCTGAAATCTGAAAATAAACAATTCAAGTGAATATTACATTAGTAAATAAACATAAGAAAATACTAAGTATATAAGCAGCAAAAATTTAAAAATTTAAACATTTAAGGAACATAATTACTTTGTTGAAATGGCTATTTCATGACCCTCCCAGTTAAATTCAGATACTTTCTTTTAGTAAAAATATAAGAAATGACTAACTGAAATGTTAAGTTACTCAATGCATCCCTCCAAAAGGATTCATTTTAATTGCTAATTCTACGAAAGATTTAAATCAAATCATATTATTTCTAATAGATAAACTATTAAAAGCCAATTACTATACATATTATAACTTTATATTTGAGTATTATCTTCAGTTGTAAGATTTGGGTCAAGCTTTATTATTTTTATTTTTTAGGGTTTTTTTTTGTTTTAAATAAAGATAGCAACATATAGAGGAATGAATGGGGGTCCTGAAAATCACTAATATCACAAGATATTTTCTGGACAAAAATACTGGTTCTATGTGTGAGTTTTTATTTTTAATTGAGCATGCCAAAATTTAAGCCTGACACTTTTGAAGATCAACACATTGATCCTCCTGAAAGAAAAGAATTCTAAACAGAACATCACAAGCTGACTAGTGTTCGCAATTATAAGTTAGATTAGATGGAAAATAATAACTAAGGAAACGGCTGCAGAAGTTAAGGATTTATAGTTTTCTCACGCGAAACTGGCTACCTTATGAAGGGCCATCTTAGGTTACCATTTCAGTGGGCAATGCTGGAAAGCGAGATCATAGGGACCAACAGAATTTGTCTAGAATGATGAAGAGCAACTACAATTTTAGGAACAGAGTGTACTCTCTGTATGACCAAACAAAAAAAGGTAAATTACAGGAAGTTTCAAGTATAAAACGGCTGTCATCTTGGCCTTACCTCAAGTTTTTCTGACAGTATCTACCTAGGATTGAACAAGAATAATCTTAAAGAAAAAAACAAAATACCTTGAAAGAAAATAACAAATGGAAACATAAACGAACAAGAAAATCTCTCTCCCTCTCTCTCACACTCACACACACACCTCAGTATCTGTAGACCCTAGAAAGCTTTGCTTTCACTTTCTCCAGATCTCTTGTATTCCTACTTCTGCCTAAGTTTTACAAACCAGTCTTTCCTTATTTTAAAGCAGAATAAATATTAGCATGAAAAATAATTAGCAGGACCCAAATTAAATATGCTAATTACAACATATAAAACATTTAATAGAGTCCAGAGTAAAACACTCAAACTTTAAATGATTGTTTTATAGACCCACGCAAACATGCACTCTCCATGTCAAAACAATTTCTATGGAAACTAAAAAAATAACAGGATAAAACTAAAATGCTGTTTTGAAATGCATAAACAAATACTTTCCTCTAAAATACTTAGCTTTATTAGGAAATGGTACTAAAAATAACAGATAGTCCAACATTTGCTCTATTCTACTTACATATCATAAATAAGACCGCTGTTGATGCAAGACATACATACTCCTTCACGATCTTTCCATAGTCACCAAGCATTCTTCTATCAGAATAAGCTGTTTACCAGCCAACCATGTGGTTGAATGATTAAAATGACCATCTATACTTTACATAGTAAAGCATTTTCAAAAAATTTAATGTACACAGTGACAAAAAGGAAAAAAATACCACAGTAATTCTGGACACATGAAGAGTAATTAAGCAGCTTCATAATCAAACCAGGTTTCATTATTTGCAATAAGGGCAATTTTTCCCATTCTCCACCCAATACTTGTTTCAATTATATTAACCTTAGAAGAAAACTCAAGTTGAAACCATGTAACTGATGCGCTACCCAGCCTTTTAAGTCTGTAAGTAACTCTTCCCATGAGGTAAGGCAACCGAGTAATTTGATTGTATTCGATTGTATTAAAATAATTAAACTTGATTTTTCAATAACATACTAATTAAAAGGCATAACTTTTTTTGGAAATATAACAATAATGAAAGGAGTTCTGAAACTATGAGTTGTGGTTTGGGGGGAAGTATTAGCAATGTTGTCATTTCACTACTTGCATACTTTCTGCAAAAAGTGAACCTAAGAATGATGGATGACCTATATTTTAAACCAAGTAAGCATATCCTTAAACATAAAACCACCTCATGTATTCACCTTTTAAGTTCAATTTCTGCACATCATTTATGAGAAGACGACTGAGAGGTAATAATTAAGGCCATCCCATGTAGACAACTAAAGGATTTGCTATAAGTAAATTAAGAACATGCTTCATTTTCAATTATCACAGTATAAAACTGATGGTCCCAAAACTGCACTGTTGCTTTAAGCTCTAAAGTCATTCTTGAAAACAGGACTTCCCTCTCATATCAGGTGAACTAAGTAAGAAGCTCTTCTGACATATCAGCTTGCACACTTCTCTATGGGAGTAAGTGGGATATCCATCTAAATTCCGTATGAACTGAGTATGACTAGTACATATAAAATTCTAGAAAACAGTATACCACATTGTAGAAGGCACTAAAGCTTCAGCTTGTGCTCCCATAGCCCATTTTGAAAACCCAAGTTTTCTTTTTATAATGACACCTTTAACACCTACTGCTGACAACACACACTGCAATATTATTCATAATAAGTTTGGAAATGTCAAGAAAGTTAAAAAAGAAGTGCTTACTTTGTGGGGAAACCCAATGATTCTAAACACTGAATACTAATACATTATTATTAGTATTCAACAGTTGTTCTTCCTTTTGAAAGAGAACAGTAGTAGCATGCATTGTCAGTTGTTTTTTAATCCACTTATTTAAGCAATTTTTAATCTGTAAAACTATTTTAAAGAAAAACTGCTGTCCTAAACAGTGAGAAAAAGAAACACAATAGTGAGAATTTAACACAATGACTATAAATCCTGTGGAGTAAGTGTTAAAACTTCTTACATATTCTGCACTTACAAGAGTGGATATATATTTGCACCGATTTCAAGCACATCATCAATCTGTATATACTGAAATTAAAAAAAAAAAAAAAAGTGAAATACAAAATTCAGTAACTAGCACTTTTTAAAAGCCTCCAATGCTTATCTCCAGTCTTTGCAGATAGTACAAATCTGGATTTTTGATGTCCCATTTCTTTGTAATGGTTCTTGGCAAACACTAACAAACCACATGACAAGTGTGTCAGCCACCATGGAAATGCACAGATTTTAGAAGATGAGTTTGGGTAACATCAGTTATCTTCATGATATCCATGCTTAATTTTCTTACTCAGTAACAAGATGGCCACAAAGCCATCTAACAACTAGACAAGCTGTTAGCTCATCTCTTTATACTCAACTGGATTTCTTCACTGTTTAACATCTTGTTAAGAGAATTAAAAGCTTTGGATTTTATTCCAGCGTGTGTTGAGAGGTGCATTTGTCGGTCCTATACAGCTTCTGTTTTGGTAGAGAGGTTTTCTTCATTTGGCTGACAATTCCCATTCTGCTGCTGTACTTTGTTTTCCTCAGTCCTTGGCGCATCCCTGTCATCGGCTTCTTTGCCCACGCTGGACTCTGGCTCTTTATTGTGCTCCTTCTCCTACAATGAATATTAAGGTATACATTTGATATTTTTCTCAAGAGCTGCCTGCTACTACATCTGCTTACAGCTAAAATATGTAACTTTATGTTTTGTGAATTAGTAAAACTGGGTATTTTCTCCCGTTACCGTCTCATATTAATAGGATATGCAAACATCTATCAATGTCATTTGTACTTCTCAAACGATAGACAATGTGTGGAAACTAAATTAGAATAAAAGAGATCAACAGAAACTCTAAGGAAATGTTCAGTAAGTGTTGTACACTGACAGATCTGCAGAAAGAATATAAAATAGTTCCCAAAGAGGCCAGGATACATTTGCACTCTGGATACCGAGGAAGCAAAAGTAAGGGAATGTAGACAAGGAAGTCACTACTCCTCTTAACAAAGACTGTTCAAAAACAGTCCAAACTCTGCCCTCAGCTTCAGGGAAAATTAAATGAGAACATGTGGAATAGTGCCTCGCACAAAGTGCGTGCTCAAGAAATGCATGTTATCAGTGTTATTAACAATGATAAACTTCTATCTGTATGAGAGTAAATGAAACTGTAAGGTAAAAGCTCCAGAATTCATAATTGATGTTCAGATACAAATTATACCAGTGTAGCATAATTCATAAGCTCTTAAAGTATTCATCCAAATACCCTTACTTGGTGAAATTTGGTTTTCCATTAATTATTCTAATTCAACAAACCTAATTTCAGTATATATTACAAAACCAATAATGAGAGAATATCTGTCAAATATGCTGAAACAAATATACTAAAAAACAAATGGCAACAAGTAGAAATCTTGAGTATAAAATCAAATACATATGTTACATGTAAATATTTTAAAATTATTATATGCCATCCTATGAGTCTCTAAAATAATGTGTCCATCTTTATTTTTTAACTTATATTTATTGTTGAAAGTTTTACAGATGTCCCTTTTCCCCCCAATTGATCCCCTCCCCTCTACCCCACATCAACCCCACCCCCAAACTTCTGTTTTAGAAAAATGTGATTGTTTATATTTTAATTAGCTTTTATCTATCCCTTCAAAATTTAGTTTTAAAAACTGTCAATTTAACAAATATGAAAGAATACCAAAAACATACAAGACACTGCTGCCCTCGAGGACCTTTTAGCCTAGAGCTGCTTCTATGCAATCAAGGACAGTCTTGATGACTGATCATTCAAAGCCTAGACCCCGAATGGCACCACTTACTTTAAGTGAAGCATTGCTCTTCTCCAACCTCTCCTTCCCATCTCTGTCATTAGAACTCTTCCTCGTAGAGGCTGAACGTTCTCTCTCTCTTCTTTCACTGATATGGTCCCTTTCTTTTTCTCTCTTTTTATCCTTCTTATTTCTGCTGTAAGAATATTGATAAGATGTCAGTTAACTTCTAAGAAAGAAAAGACCTGCTATACTGTTGACAAAGTGTTCTTATCAAACACTGAAGCATTGTAAATAAGCATATCAGTAACCTAGTTTGATCAAGTAACATAAATGGGACCTATAATGCCACTTACTTTACCCACATCCCAATTAACATCTTATTTTTTAATTAATTTTTTTAAAGAATAGTTTTTATTGATTTTTAGAGAAAGAGGAAGGAAGAAGAGAGAAACATCAATGTGAGAGCGCAGCACTGACAGGCTGCCTCCTGCATGCCCCCAACCTAGAACTGAACCAGCAAACTTTTGGTGCACAGGATGACACCCAACCAACTGAGCCACACAAGCCAGGGCCCAATTAACATTTTAAAGATATACAAGTCATTTTCGCACAGTGTATCTGTGATCACATAAAACACAATTTGGTATTGTCAATTTATTAGTTCTGAAACATTCAAAAGTTATTTAGTTACTATAATTTGGATAAAATAAAACCAAATATGTGTGTATATATATATTTTTTTAATTTAAAAAAAATACATATATTTTTTAACCCACCTTTTCAAAGCAAAAAGTGAATAACCAGAAAGGAATGAAAAGAGGAAAGACCCAAGCAGGACTTCTAGCAAAAGTGGAACTTCAAATAACTTAGTGTCCTCATCATTCACCATTACAAAGAAATCCCACCAATTCAAGAGCAAAAGTTAAGCAGAAGATGGAATGAAGAAGTTCCATTTATAAAAATAACGTACCCTTAAAATTAGAGGGGAAAAAAGAATACAATTCACATCAGAAGCATAATGAATAGCTTCTACTCACAATAGTTAAGCCTAATACGGAATTCTAAACCTTCTTCTCTTAATTATGAACAGTTTAATAATAAACACGAAGACCAGTGGGACAAACAAAGACACTTAGGAAACAAAATCAAGTTCATATGAAAATATAGTATAACAAAGGTGACATCTCAAATCACGGGGGAAAAGATGGTCTTTTATAAATAAAGAGTTTGGGGACAACTGGATTATTATTTGGTAAGTAATAAAATTAGATCCATATCTCATTCCACATAAATAAATAAATCCAAATGGATTGGAGACCTAAACTTTTCCAATAAAACAATACAGTATTGGAAGGAAACATGTGTGAATTTCTTTAACATGGTGGGTGAAGGAAAAGATTTTGTAACCATAACTAAAATTTCAGGTCCAGTAAAAGTAAAGATTTGCCTACATAAATTTTTGCAAAGCAAAAAAAAAACAAAACTATTAGCATATTCAACAAAAAATGACAAACTAAAAACTACATTTGCAACATATTCAATTCAAGAGCAAAAGTTAAGCAGAAGATGGAATGAAGAAGTTCCATTTATAAAAATAACGTACCCTTAAAATTAGAGGGGAAAAAAGAATACAATTCACATCAGAAGCATAATGAATAGCTTCTACTCACAATAGTTAAGCCTAATACGGAATTCTAAACCTTCTTCTCTTAATTATGAACAGTTTAATAATAAACACGAAGACCAGTGGGACAAACAAAGACACTTAGGAAACAAAATCAAGTTCATATGAAAATATAGTATAACAAAGGTGACATCTCAAATCACGGGGGAAAAGATGGTCTTTTATAAATAAAGAGTTTGGGGACAACTGGATTATTATACGTGTACACGTATCTTTGTACATAACTCTTAAAGGGAACAAACGCATCAAACAGAATAAAATTCTTAGGAATAAATTTAACCAAGAAGGCAAAAAATTTGCTGTGAGCAATAAAGACAAATAAAGACATCCCATGTTCATGGAGCAGAAGACTTAAATATTGTTACGATAAAAAGAGTAATTCAAAGCCACCTGCAGATTCAGTGCAATCCCTATGAAAATTCCATTTGGTATCGTTAGTAGAAATAGAGAAACCCATCCTAAAATTCATATGGAATCTTGAGGGACATCAGATAGCCAAAACAATCTTAAGAACAACAAAGGTGGAAGACACAGGATTCTTGATTTAAAAACTTACTATAAAGCTACAGTAATCATGACGGTGTGGTAATGGACCAAAAGATTAAAACAGAAAGCCTAGAAATAAACTCACATATATGGTAAAAATGCCATTCCATGGGGAAAGGAGAACTTTTTCAACAAATTATTCTAGGGAAACTGGACAGTCATATACAAGCTGAAACTGAACTCTTACTTTATACCATATATAAAAATTAACTCAAAATGGATCAGAGATCTAAACATACAAGCTAAAACTATAAATCTCTTAAAAGAAAACATAGGGAGAAATCTTCATGGCACTGGATTTAGCAATGCTTTCTTGGCTATGACACAAAAAACACAGGCAACAAAAAGGAAAAAAATCAATCAATCTGACCGCAAAATCAAAAACTTTTGTGCATCAAAGGATACTATCAAGAAAGTAAAAAGATAACCACAGTATGGGAGAAAATATTTTTAAATTATACACCTGGTAAAAAATCAATATTCAGAATATAAAGAACTCTTACAACTTAACAAAAAAAAGCCCCTCAATTTGAAATAGACAAAAACTTGAATTAAAAAAGATATACAAATGGTCAATAAGCACATGAAAAGATACTCAACATCACTAATCATAAGAGAAATGCAAATCAAAAGACACCACTATACACATACTCACTAAAATGGTTATAATCAGAGGCAAATAAGAACAACTGTCACCCAGCTGGGCATGGCTCAGCAGTTGAGAGTTGGCCTAGGATCCAGGCGATAGGGGTTCGATTCCCAGTCAGGGCACATGCCCGGGTTGCAGGTTCAATCCCCAGTCAGGGGCGTGCAGGAGGCAGCCGATCAAACATCATTGATGTTTCTATCTCTCTCTCCCTCTCCTTTCCTCTCTCTGAAATCAATAAAGATATATTTAAAAAAAAAAAAAAAACTGTCAATGAGTATGTGGAGAAACTGGAACCACTGTACATTGCTGATAGAATGTAAAATGGCACAGCTACTTCGGAAAAAAGTTTGGCAGTTTCTCAGAAAGATAAAGTTACTATATAACTCAGCAATTACCACTCCTAGTAAACCCAAGAGAAATGAAAACATATGTCCACAATAAAACTTGTACATAAATATTCAAAGCAGCATTATTCATAATATCCAAAAAATGGAAACTATACTAAATGTCCATCAACTAATGAATGGATAAATAAAACATGGCTTTTTAATCCACACAATGGAATATCATTCATCCATAAAAAAGAATAAAATACAGGTTTATGCTACAACACACATGAACCTTAAAAAAATTTAATCAAAGAAGCCAGACAGAAAAGACCACACATGAGTCCATATGTAAAATGTCCAGAACAGGCAAATCCAGAGACAGTAAATAGATTAGTGGCTGTCAGGACTTATGGGGAGTAACTAATGGGTATGGGCTTTCTTTGAAATGACAAAGAATGTTCCAGAATTAAGTAGTGGTGATAGTTACAGAACACTGTGAACATACTAAAAACCACTTAACTGCACATTTAAAAGGGTGAATTTTATGGTAAGTGAATTATTTCTCATTTTAAAAAGTAACTTGGGTAAAGAGAGGGTACCATCACTGACGAACACACACACACACACACACACACACACACACACACACACACACACAGTGTATATGTTATATACTGTCTTTTGTGAAAAAAGGAGAAATTCAAATATATGTATCTGCTAAACTTTGAAAAAAAGAAAGATAAAATAAACTATCACTTACAGAGGGTGGAGGGGGAGCAAGGTAAAAGGAATCAAGGAAGTGACACTTTGTGAATAAATCTTTTTGTCTAATCTGAGTTCAAAACTGAGAAAAGTCTTGCCTTTCATAAGCAAAGTTGTTGGTTTTTTTTCAATAAAAATATGGCCAACCTCTGTAATATTCTATGCTTTCCATTATTCTCACCTAAAAACAATAACCTACAAGCAAATTAACAAAATACCCCTGCTGGGAAACATGCTCCTTACACTCTGGCAAAGCTTTATATAAATTTCTCTTTTCTAAACTTAAAAAATCAACTGAAAAACTATGACTTATCAGTAACACAGTGGGATGAAATAATAAACAAAAACTAATACCTTCCTATGTATAAATCCAACATACAATTAGATAAGGTAATGAAAGAAAAGGCCTTATTTAAAAAACAAAAAAGTAAACTATAAGAATTTAGAAAATGCATAAAATCTGTATGCAACACTAAAAAACACTAAAGATGGCCTGAATAAGCAAAAAGATACACCACATTCCTGAGTAGAAAGATTCACCACCACCATAAAGCCTTATTTATAAAGCTACTTATAATTTTCTCTAATTAATAAATCTGTAATACAAATCATCAATAGGTTTTACATCTAGAACCTAGACAACTGACTTTTATGTTCAAATGGGAAAACAGACATGCAAGCATGGTCAGGAAAGCTCAAAAACAGAGCAACGGGGAGTGTGAGGGAGGACAGGCCTTGCTAGACAATAAGAAATACTATACAATCCAAATAACTAAAAACCATGGTACACGAATCATCACTAAAATTGACCCAACAGCATGGAAGAGCGATTTTCAACCCATGCACTGCAAGAATTTTTAAAACATGCAATACCTATTTTGTCAGGGGCACCGACCTCTTTTCCCTTAGACTGTCAAATTAAAAAATGACAACAGCCCAGCCGGGTGTGGCTCAGTGGTTGAGCATCAACCTAGAATCCAGGAGATTGCGGTTCGATCCCAGTCAGGGTACATGCCTGGGTTGTGGGCTCGATCCCCAGTCAGGGGTGTGCAGGAGGTAGCTGATCAATGATGACTCTCTCATCACTGATGTTTCTCCCTCTCTCCCTCCCTCTCTCTCTCTCTCTGTCCCTTTCCCTCTTCCTCCCTCTCTGAAATCAATAAAGATATAATTATAAAAAAATTTTTTTTAAATGACAACCAACACAATAGCCATCCAGAGATTATACATATATTTGTCTCATCAGTAAAAAATATGTTTTTTGGTGTGTCACAGAATTTTAGTAATTAGTTTATGTGTGCCATGACGTGAAAAAGGTTGAAAATCAATAGCATAGAAGTCCCAGAAACAGACTCAAATAGAAAAATTTAGTACATGACAAAAGCAATCTATCAAACTAGTATTAGAAAAATTGAGTTTTTGATGAATGGTATTACAACAGCAAAGTATTTGGAAAAATAAAATTGGACCCATATGCCATATGGTACATACATATGGATAAACTCCTAATGGATCAAAGATATAAATGTAAAAATAAAACCATAAAAATAGAAGAAGAAACAATGGGGGAATTCTATCATAACCTTGGAATAAGAAAAGACCTTTCTAAATTTATGACAAAATCTAGGAAGTCAAACAGGAAAAAAAATTGAGAAATTAAGTTATATAAAAATAAAAAACGTTTGTATACTTAAAACCTGGGACTTAAATATGACAGTAAAAAACAGTTACTAAATAGACTATTAAAAACCATCCTGCTTATTAACATATCAGCAAATATGCATACTCTAAATTACCTCATTAGTAAGGGTGGTCAACCTATAAACAATAACTTAGAAAGGTAAGTTTACAAACTAGGAATAATACTTGAAATCAAATCACTAAATAATAATCTCCCCAAGACAAAAAGAGCTCCTGAAAATATTAAAAAAAGAGACTCCATAGGAAAATAGGCAAAGTATACAGACCATTCACAGGAAAGGAAATACAAATGGCTTTATTCTTAAGAGAAATGTAACTAAAATTATTTTATGTTGGTACCATTCTTCATCTATCAGGTGGACAAAACTCCCCAATTTTTACTATATAACCTGTCATAGCTGTAGGGAAACGGGCACTCTCATACACAGCTGATTAAAATACAAGGTGCTGCCGATTCTTAACCAAGGGCAATGTGGAAATATCTCTCAAAATTACAAACACAATCCTCTGACCCAACATTACCATTTTTGGAAAATTTTCCTACATACTTGAACACTACAAAATGAGGTAAGTCCAAAGTAATTCATTACAATATTGTATAATTTATAACAGAAAAACTAAGAAAACCCATTCTAGCCTGCATCGACCTACACGATCCAGATCATGGTTCGATTCCCGGTCAGGGCACATGCCCGGGTTCAGACCCCAGAAGGGGGCATGCGGAGGCAGCTGATCAATGACTCTCTCTCATCACTGATGTTTCTCTCTCTCTCTCTCTTCCTCTCTCTGAAATCAATAAAAATATTTTTTTTTTAAAAAAAGAAAACCCATTCTACTGCAGGCTGGTTAAATAAACTAAGGTACTACTATCATACAAAAGAAGTCCATGCAGTTGTAAAAATAAATGAAGAAGCACTCTGACAAATATGGAAAGACCTGGTAGTTAAAGTGAAAAAAAGCAAGTACGCAACAGTGTATATTTTATACTACCTCTTTTATAAGAAAGATGAAAATAAAAACCACATATCCTTATCTTGTATGTATGTGCAAATACAAAATACAAATAGTCACTACTTATGGGGAAAGAGTAGATGGGCACATGGATGGAAATTAAGATCCATCAATGTATAATTTTTTACACTGTTTTGATTTCTGAACCATGCAAATGTATTACATATTACTCATTCAAAAATATAGTTTTAAAAATAGGCTGAGGTCAGACTCAGGAAACTCAGGAGAACTTAAGAACGATGGCATGGGTTTGGTGGCTAGAGAGGCTGCAGTGAGCGCGCTGCAGTATTTTGACCAAGGTTATGAAGTGCTTGGTGTGCAGGAAGCGGCCGCGACACTGGTGGAGGAGGAAACTCACAGATACCTACCTACGGAAACCTACCTGAGCTACCTGACAGCCCCAGATTATTCTGCTTTTGAAACCGACATAATGAGAAATGAATTTGAGAGACTGGCTGCTCGACAACCAACTGAATTGCTCAATAAGAAATGATACGAACTTCCAGCCCCTTCCTCGGGTCAGAAACATTGGGACATTACTGCATGGTAAGAATGTGTAACCAATTCTATGGCCCAGTTAGAGCATCAGGCCATTCGAATTGAGAATCTGGAACTAATGTCACAGCATGGATGAAATCACGGAAAGTATATAATGAAAATCTAGTTCATATGACTGAACACGCACAGAAAGAGTCCTAGAAGTTAAGGAAACATAATTCAAGATTTAGCCCAGCTGGGCGTGGCTCAGTGGTTAAGCGTCAACCTAGGATCCAGGCGATCAGGGTTCGATTCCCGGTCAGGGCACATGCCCGGGTTGTGGGCTCAATCAATGACTCTGTCATCATTGATGTTTCTATCTCTCTCTCCCTCTCCTTTCCTCTCTGAAATCAATAAAGATATATTTATAATAAAATAAAAAAAAGTTAAAAAAAAAAAGATTTAAACTGGCAGCGAAAGAATATGCAACTCACAGCTGGATCTAAATTAAGAGAAATGGAGTCAAATTGGGTATCCCTGGTCAGTAAGGATTGAGGCTGAAAGGACTATTGTGCAATCAGAAAATGAAGTCTTTCAAATGAAGCAGCAAGTTGGAGAGGCCAATAAAGAGAACATCCGACAAGTCTTCTGAAAAGGCAAATTAATTCAGTTGGTAGAAAGGCAGGCAGGCTGGGCTTCCACAGAGGACCAGGCACTGCTCTGTGAAGGTCAACAGCATCTTATGGAAATCATCAGTTGTGTTTACAAACCATAAAAAGTGGACTCTCATATTCTACGTGTACATTAGCAAAATAAAAAATTTCAACTTGGTGGTATTACTTACTTAAAAAAAAAAAAAGGCTGAGGAAATAATGCCCACCCCCCCTTGCCTCCTTCTTAGTTTTAGCACATGCTTTCAACCTACCTCCTAGGGGATGGAGACCTAGAAGATTTCCTTTTTATGGTTTTTGATGTTCTTGGGGATCTGGAAGAACTCCTGCTCCTCCTCCTCCGCCTTTCCCTGAAAGTCAAAGACAGGCCATTTATAAACAGCAGCAATTTAAATAAAAGGCAATTCAAATACACAAAAGCAGAAGAGTCCTTAATGCTCTCAGGTGAATAGTACTCTTTGGAAGCCAGTTTAAACTCATGTCCTCTATGAGCACATTCTATTATCTAATTTTAGTGCCGGTCAAATTATGAACCATGTATTTTACAGACTAATAAAAAATCTCCTAAGATTTCATATTAGAAAGGGTAGAGGACCTCTGATTCACCTGGTTAAATATGTTCTTCCTTAGCTTCTAAAACATGTTTTGCTATCAGATCCTTTGTCATATATCTAGCTCCTTGCTGCCCCACTGTGGATTATTTTGTAACAAGGTACCATGCCTTTTTCAAGAGCTGACAAATAAGCTGGCTTGCAAAACATGAATGTTCCAGACCTAAGTATTTAGAGTATCTTTCAAAAAGTATTTACATTAACTCATCTTATGCTTTACCCTCTCATCTCCTATAATTTCAATACTGTTGTTCTGTTCATTTAAAATTGAGTGCACAGTTGCTTAGCTATAAGTAAAATACTTAAAATCAGGGATTTAAATATGACAAAGTAAAAAATAATTACTAAATAGATTGTTTATTAAAAACTATTTTGCTTGACATATTAGCAAATATGAACACTCTAAATTACTTCATCAGTAAGGTCGTCAACTTAGAAACAATGCATTTCAAGATATCCATAATTCAGGGGATGAGGTATGAGGATATAGTTATTAAATGATTAATGGATCCAACAATCTATCTCACAAGGAGTTCGGACAATTAGTGGCCACATAGCTGAAAGAATCTAATCTTCTAGAATTCAAGTTGTTCTTACCACCTCAGTAAATTGAGCCTAGGTTAATGAAACATAGCATGTTTTTCATTTATTAAATAAAAACCTAAATAATGCTCAGATGTGTTATATATAGTAGATGTTAAGACCAAAAAAGCTCAAGAACCTTGAGAACACAAATAAGTAGTCAACTCCTACTCTACCTAAAGCTCTCTCCTCCATAATCCAACTTTATTTCAGGATACCCCAAAATTATACTTCTGACTGATGAAGAAATTAGTTAACAATATTCCATTCAATCAATGCTCTTCTGTAACAGCTCAGCACGAGAACCTGAAGTACTTTTTACATAGCATGAGAACATCAGTGTATTCCGGACTTTAAGTTTACGCAAAAAAGGGCTCCACCTTGATCAGTGTGACTCTTTACCTGTTTGTTCAGAAAGCACTATGTACAGGTGGACATCTAATAACTACCAGCTGATGATAAGAGCTAAGGCTGAATAGACAGCAATCTAGAATATCAATTAGTTGAGAAAGTGGGCAGCTCTAGTAGGAACTGGAGTTGGTTAGAATTAGATTTAAATTTTAGTTCTACAACTTAACAGCTGCACAACTGGGGTCACGTTGCTTTTAATCTGAGCCTGTTTTTCCAAGTGGAAAATGGAGATAAGTCTTGCAGTGTTATGAGGATTTAGAATACCACTAGTAAAGTAGCAAGCATAGAGCTTGGCACATAATACGTGCTCAAATGTTTTCTCCTTCCCTTTCTTGGTTTCATCTTTATTAATAGTAACTTTTAAGTATTAAAAGTTTTTTATACATTGCCCCTGCCAGATGGCTGTTGGTTGGAATATCCGTCATGTGCACAGAAAAGGTTGTAGGTTCAATCCCTGGTCAGGTGGCGTAGGGGAGACCGTCAGTAGATCTGTCTTGATCTCTCTCTCTCTCAAAGGAACAAAAACATATCCTCAGATGAGGATATTTTTTTTAAGTTTTTATATATCAAAATTTTCTTTTAAAAAGCACATTAGGGGACAATGTTGGAAATAAAAATATTAAGTAGACTAATTTTCTGAGGAGTTGAAATGTTTCCCGTTTACTAAACAAAAATCAGAGCACTTCAAAAGTAGAAAAATGCTAAAAGTTGAGAAATTTTATGTCTTCAACAAGCTCTTCTGAAAGCATAAAACATTCTAAACAGCATTTATTTTCTAGACCCCACAGGTTATTTAGGACTATATTTACTGAATGTGAGCATCTGAACTTTCTTAAATAACAAGCAACTTTAAAATGGGCCATGAAAAAAATTGAACATTTCATTCATAGTCATCAGAGACAGTAAATTCAACTAAATTTAAAAGGAATCAAAACATTACTTGGTGTTGTGAAAAGCGATATCTAAACAATCACATAAACACGAAAGAAATGTGTGACACATAATCAATAAAATCACTGTGCCGCAGATGTGCAGTTACAGGGCTCAACTGATACCTACAGTAAATGAGGTTACATTAATTCTTAAGGTTTGGGTTTAATGTTAAAATATGACCTGCTTATTTTAAGCCCCTTTTTAACATAAAATGTTTGTTTCAACTCTATGCTTCTGAGTCAGTTTTTAAAAAGCAGGTAGCCAAGTACTAGTTAGAGAAGTCTCAAGTAAATGTAATCTCTAAAAAGAGAGAGCTACTATACTTCTGATACTAACATACAAAGCAGATGGAAAATTTCCTCTAACCTTCAGTTTCCTCATGCTTCACAACCACATAATAGTCTTCTCATACTTGTGAAGATTAAATAAGGTTAGCCAGGAATAATTGCAGAGGCATAAAATCTGGCATTTATAGTAAAAGCACTCAGTAAATGCTTGAAATATCTTGTATTATCTACCCAAAAACTAGTATTAAGAATAAGCTATTAAAAGACAGTTTTTTTTTAAAAAAAGACATTCCTGTTTCCAAAATTATTTTCTATGAAAAATTATGCTTAAAATACCTTTAAAACTTGCTAAAATATGTGTATTTTTAATACATAGCGTAACACAAGTTAGTAACTTCTATTTATAGTCATGGTATCATCTGGAATAATGGATGTAGGTTAATATAATCTTGAATCAGTGAAGGTCTTCATTTTGCCACTGTTACTATGGCAACCTACTCCACCTGGTGGCAGTGTACCTCTTAATAGATAGAGGGAACAGTCCTAAGAAAAACGCAAAACCTTAAAACTGACAAAACCAAAATGTAAACATCATGTACTCAACAAAACAGTGCAGTAAAAATTAATTTGGATGACAAAAGCGTTAACACTGCAAGTTTAGAAATCATTTCACATAATAAAACTCACCACACCATTCCAAAGGAATACAGAAGCCTAACAGGTCAATTCTTCTGTATTAAAATAAAGAAAATAAAGACACTTCCATGTCTTGGCCACTGTGAATTAATGCTCCAATGAACATAGGAGCACATATACCTTTGGAAATTAATGTTTTCAAATTTTGGGTGTAGGCATCCAGAAGAGGAGTTGCTAAGTTCTACACTTTATTTTTTGAGGAGCCTCCATACTGTTTTCCATAGTGGCTGTACCAGTTTGCATCCCTTCCCACCAGCAGTGAATGAGGGTTCCTTTCTCTCCACACCCTCCCAAACACTTGTTACTACTTGTCTTATTGATAATACCTATCCTAACAGGTGTGATGTGATGTCGAACTGTCTTTTGCTAGGTGACTGGACGAAGAAGATATGGCACAAATATACAATGGAATACTACTCAGCCATACGAAAAGATGAGATACCACCATTTACAATATGGCTGGACCTTGAGAATATCATAAGAGAAAGAAGTCAGACAGAAAAAGTCAAGAACCTATGATTTCACTCATGTGAGATATAAAACTGAAAGCAACAAATGAACAAACAAAAACTAATGGACACAGACAAGAGAATGGTGGTTACCAGAGGGAAAGGGGGCTGGAAATACAAAGGGTTGGGTGTCAAATATATGGTGGCAAAGGAGATTTGACTAGGTGGTGAACACACAATGCAATACATGGATGATGTATTATAGAACTGTACACCTGAAACCTATGTAATTTTATTAACCAATGTCACCCCAATTAAAAACAAACAACAACAAAAACTTGCCCCTGCCGTCCTACCCTCCAAGAAAATCAGCAGCAGCACCATCTGCTAGTGCCGCCAGCACTACCAGGTTAAAATAATGGATCAAAAAAGTAAGTAAAACTTTTCGAATAATTTTGCCTAGTACCATCCACCCTTCCTCCTCACAGGTTCGATACCGTGGCAAGCCCTGTTAGAGAAGCGCTTACTCTGCAGAGAAAATGTTATTACTGTACTGATTCCACTTGTACAGAAAATCTTTCCCCTCCGTTAAAAGTCTGGTTTCCGCATGTCATCAGTAAACACCTTGGTAAAGGGTTAAGCGCGTCTAACCTGCTGGAACTACGAGACCGTCTTGACGCATTGTAACTCCTGGGCGGCGTCCGGGGCTTTTTTTCCTTCTTCCGTTTCTCGTCCGCCTCTCTGGGCCTGTCCTTCTCCCGCTCCTTCTCCTTCTCCTGCTCCTTTTCCTTCTCTCTGTCCCGCTCCTTCTCATGCTCTCTCTCCCGCTCCCGCTCTCTGTCCTTCTCCTTGTCTTTATCTTTGTCCCGGTCCTTGTCCCGGTCCTTGTCTTTGTTTTTACCCCGTTCCTTTTCTTTTTCACGCTCCTTTTCCCTGTCTCTCTCTTTTTCCCTTTCCTTTTCTTTATCTTTTTCTTTCACTCTTTCCTTTTCCTTGGTCTTTTCTCGCGTGTCTTTTCTCTTGTCCCTTTAAAAACAAAAATAAGTAAGTTAATTCACAACTGAAACAATTCTACTCCCCATAAAGACCTCCCTTTCTTTAATAATTATCAAAACAAAACAATTTATAATAGTTATAAAATATCATGTAAATTTCTGTATAATCCAGTTGTAACTGAAGCTGCTAAATAAAACAAATACCAGGTGGAATGAAGTAGGAAAATCTGGAAACCTCATGAGTCATAATGGCCATCAGATTCAAAACAATGGCAACCAATATTAATCATTACTAAAACAATCAGAAAAAAGTTTACATTCATTAAAAACCTAAACCACAACAGATTTTTAACAAATGAAGCCACGTAAAAAAGTATCCTTAATTTTTCCAAAACTCACCGTGAATGAGAACGACTCCTTGACTTCCGCCTTTCTCTGGATTTAGAGCGTTTTTTATGTGGGCTCTTAGATCTACGTCTATCTTTTTGTCTTGAACGTGATCTGTTATGGGATCTACTCCTAAAGAAAAACAAATTGTTAGAATGTCAAACCCTTTTCTTAGAATTTCAATTTTTAAAGATGTCTTTCAAATACGAGAATTTTAAAACCTATCCCAAAAGTATATATCAATATTTTAAAATTATCTAGTATGTAATGTTTCAGTTAGATTGTCTATAATAAATTTATTTACTGGAAACTACCAGGTACATCACTGTCCAGAACACAAAGATAAAAACAGGGAAAGAATTTATTTCCTGTGTCAGACTTAGTATTTTCAGGTGTGGCTTTCTTTTGCTAAAGTTTTTCTCCCTCTAGAGTGTCTCACAAAACAGAATATACCTCTGTGAGAACAGAAGGCAAAATAATGCTAGTCCTGTGAATTATCTCTTTTTCTCATGCGCATCTCTTTTGCTAATTATTATATGCCTCAATTACTACAGAAGACTTCTCCTCCTATGATCCAGGTTTTCATACCATAAACTTTTTAACTCTTGGCTTGTGTGTGATGACTGCTTGTGATTACAGTTTATCTTGACAAATTATAATCTTGAGTGGTGGTTATATGGTTCAACAGTTTCTATAAATGGCTGTGTGCTATTGGTCATAACACATACTAAGAATATATAAACAGCATAGTGCTAGTGACGGTACTAGTTGACAATAAACATTGCTTATGAGTTAAAGGTAGATATAATCAAATACTGGATTTGCAAAGCCTTGATTTTATAACTACATAAACATGGCTATTAAAAGAAACTATTACGGGAATTCTTGAAGGAAAAATAAGTTATTCCAATTGTGAAATTCTCTAGGCTCCTTTTCCCCAGTGAAATAACTGCTTATGTAATGTGATTTTTTTCATAATGAAGTAACCTAGGAACTATGTATTAAAATATAACAAAACTGAATGCGCACAACCTTAATAACAATGTGATGAGACTCACCAGCTTTGAAGTCAGCTCTGCCACACACTAGCTGTGAGAACTCTGGCTAGTCAATTTCTCTACGCCTGAGTTTCTTCATTTGTAAATGGAATAAGAATTATACCTACATCTACTAGGGCTGTCATAAGAATTAAATCAGATGACATATGGAAAATTTACTGCCTACCAGTCTCTGGTACGAAGTAAATGCTTACAATTCCTAACTCTATCATCATCAACAATATAAATGAAAACTAAAATCTATCTTTCTTTGTTCCAAGGAGGTCAAATGAACTTCCACAAGTATGCTTTATATATAATTAAAACTCATCGTGATAGTCATGCTTTCACGAATTAAAACAAATATCTATAAAAGAAATATATATAGCCTGGCTGGGCGTGGCTCAGAGGCTGAGCATCGACCTATGATCCAAGAGATCGCAGTTCGATTCCTGGTCAGGGCACATGCCCGGGTTGCGGGTTTGATCCCCAGTGGGGGATGTTTCTATCTTTCTCTCCTTCTGAAATGTTTTCTCTCTCTGAAATCAATAGATACATTTTTTAAAAAAAGAAATATATACAGTTAAATGCTTGTGCTGTACTATGAAACCAGAAAACCCTCCAGACAACCCTCAATAATGAAATCTTGTTGTTTAAACACACTTTTCAGTTAAAATTTGTTTTCCAACAGCTAATTTTCAACTGAACCACTCATCTATTTTATGTCTTTAAAAATTATACATTTATCTTTATACCACATTTTTAATATAAGATAATTGTTAGTTTGTTGAGATTTTTATCAATAATAACCTGAGAGATAAAAGGATCAATAGATATTAAGGCAAAAATGCAAAACTGAGAACATTTTTAGTCCATTTACAGACATCCACATAGGGTATATAATAAAGGTACTTTGCTTCTAGGTTCTTAATAAAAAGTCTTAAGATTTCTGTTCTAGTTAACCTTGCTAAAAATATAAATAGCTTGTTTTAACCAAACTGTTTCCCAACCTTAATTAAGCAAAGAAACCCCTTTTAAAAACTTAACCATAGCCCTAACAAATAAAAAGCTACTTGGCTTCCCACTTTACCCTGTAGGACCTCAGAATTTGAAAGTTACTGCACAAGAATAACTATTGTATTTTAATTTGGACATTGAATATTTTCATATCTCTATTTCACCTTCTAGTCATCTATAAGTTTTCTGAGGAGGAATGCTAAAAGCTTCAAATCAAGAATAAATCTAATCCAACCAAAGATAAAAATTTGAGTTATGGTTAGCAGTTCTCATTTTAGAGTAACGTGCAAAATTGCATTTATAAATGAAACTATGAATAAAGGGCAACTTACCATCATGTTGCATCATCAAAGATCACTGGTAAGTCAGTTGTTTCCCATAAAATATTATAAAATGTCTTATAGTTCCTATGCTAGTCTGTAAAAGTTACTTAACTTTAAAATATAATAATTATAGTATTACCCACCTTTCCTCACACTGTCCTGATGAGAATACTACATAAAAATTTGGAAACAAAAAGTGGAAACACATCATCCCAGTCCTACCCAAGGTCACAGCGACAAGAAATCCCTTTCTCCCTCCTAACATAAGAAGGGGAAGGAATAAGGAAAGGGTGTGGGAGGCTTTAGAAGCACCTGAGAACAGTGAGGACGTAGAAGGGGGGCCTTCAAGAGCAAGGGCTCTGCAACCCACACTCCTGCTAAGTCTAGCAGGTCACAAGAGCCAGAGTTGAGTGTATCAAATCCCACCAGCAGAGGAGGGAAAGCCAAGAAATGCCTGCCACCCCCCTCCCCTAATGGGATGGGGGAAGTTACTTCCACATCAAGATCCTTAAGTTTTCTGGATAAGGATTTTTTTCCATTAAACAGAACTCATCCTATTTCTTTAAGAACTTAGTAAAGGTTGTATGTTTTTCTATAAACCATGTATAAAAATAGTATATGCTTATCAAAAATGTGTTTGTAAAGTGTGTGTATATATTCATGTATATGTGTGTATATATGTAGATACGTGTATGTATGTGTATGTGTGTATATATACAACTGCCCCCTGAACAATGCAGGGTTGGAGTGCTGACCCCTGCACAGTCAAAAATCTTGTTACTCCCCCAAAACTTCAGTCACCCCTCAGAATCTACAAAGGATTGGTTCCAGAAATATCCCCCTCCCCCACCACAGATACCAAAATCTACAAATGCTCAAGTCCCTTATACAAAATGGCATGGAACAATGCATACGGTCCACCTTTCGCATTCATGGATTCCTAACTGCAGATCAAATATATGCACTGTCTTCGATCTGTGATTGGCTGAATCCATGAATCCTAAACTCACATATATGAAGAGCTGATTATGTATTTATTAAAAAGAATCCACATATAGGTGGATCCACGCAGTTCAAACCTATGTTGTTCAAGGATCAACTGATGTCAAGAAAGGTGATTTATAAAGCTACACAGACCTACATGAAAGCACTCCCATGAATGAGAACCATAATTAACAAATTTCATTTTAGACTGAATAACCCTCCCCTCATTAACCCTTGGAAGGGGAAAATATCCAAATATACTTAAAATAATAAGAGCGAAAACCTTACAGTGGATAAATTAGCCCCAAATAATTTTTTATAACATAAAGCTTCCCAGAGATTATAAAGGAAATACTGATGTCAATCATTAAATTTGGCTTTATTCTGGCCTAGAAAACCACGAAGGTATTAGATTTGGAGCCTGGCTCTTAAAATCAACACAAAATGAGATTCAGGTCACTGGTCTTTTCTTTCCTTAGAAAAGAGGTTGTTACTCTTCAGTTCAATTCTGAATTTCCTTGCTCTCCTTTTCTGTTCACATCCTGTTAACCTATGGTAACATGCATAATCTAGCCCTATTGCTTCTATATCCCTTCCCTTCTCCAGTTCCGCTTCTGCTGCACTGCGTCATTCCTTGTACATGAAACAATTTCCTTCACGTGGATCTGAACTTGCCTTGTATGGAAGACTAGACAGTAAAACCACATCCCAAAAGAGATTTTGCAAACTAACAACAGAGAAGTATACACCAGTAAACAGCAAGAACTGTAGTCTACTAGAATCAAACAGAGTATTGTTATCCTATCTCATTGTTTCAATCTACTTGAACAACACAGAAAAACAGACTAAACTGAGCTTGCTGGTGAAGTTCTACATACAGCAGCATTCTGGTTCCCTCCCCTCAAACTCTCCCCTCTTTCTCTAATACCCCCACACCACACACACACATGCACACACACTTTTCTCTACCTCTTCTCTTTAGACGTAAGTATATGTGCACATATAGCATGCTATTAGAATCCACTATATCCATTTTCACATTTCAGTAACTGCCCCTCCACATCTTAAAGACAATAAAACTTATCACTTTAGATTAGCAATCAAATGGTGTTACAAGTTTACATTTTGAAGTCCCCCTTGAGCCAAACACAAAACAGATTTAAAAAGAAAATTAAAACAGAGCTATGCTCAAAAATAAGATAAACAAAACAGAAACAGAGCTTAAGCACAACACAATAGTAGGAACTAAAGCTGCAAGTTACTCCTGGTTTCAGGTCCCAAAGTACTGGAGATAGGTAATGACTTGAAAGCAAGATCTGTGGTGGGACTTCCCAGCCCTTGAGTTGGGGG